CACACACACACACACACACACACACACACACACACACACACACACACACACACACACATTCAGTCTCTCCCCATCCCGCTGTGTGTGTGTGTGTGTGTGTGTGTGTGAGTGCATGCAGAGGATTCACCTACTTTGTTCTGTTGGTGACTGGCGGCTTTGTGGTGGACTGTGCACACGCCTAATCATTACAGTGGTGATGAGCTTGTGCTCAATATCAGTGGCATGCAGGTGCAAGGCAAGGGGTGGCTCTAATTAGACTGAGCTGTGTGTTGTTTATGTTGCTTTCTTGAGCGCAGGCTTATGATCAGCACCTGAATATGATTTTGGGAGATGTTGAGGAGGTCGTGACGAGTGTAGAGATCGATGATGAAACGTATGAAGAGATAGTACGGGTAAGTACGATGTGATTTACTTCCTCATAACTCTTGCCTGCAGTGTTTAGCAACTTCGTGACATCATCTCCTCGTGTGCTGTCCCCTCTGCTTTCTAGTTTTCTTTTTCTTTCAGCCATCTGCTCACGTCTTCTTTTTCTGTTTGTCGTTTTCCCAAGCTCCGTTCTCTGCCACCGTTCCATTGTCCTCCTCTGATCACAAGCTGATGGATTTGAGCGGGCCCATGGTGCCTCTTCATGATTGTTGTCGTCGTCCTTTCAAGTTCACAAACCACACTCATGCCGTCTCATGTGCAAATGTGTGAGTGGCAATTTTGTGTGGTCTGTGATGCATCCTCATGGCTCTGTTGGTCGCATTCCAAATATTGTAGCATTCCCACTACCTTTCTCTAGTCTGCTCTTTCAGTCTACACCACATCGCTGCAGTGTTTCCAATGCGTGCAAAACATCTTGGAAGCCTATATTACCCGAGGTAAATCTCCAGAGGCTTTGTATGGGGTTTTGCACTACTATCAGGGTTTCTATTTCTGGGCTGTGAAATGGCCAGATTGAACCGACGCACATGAAATGTGTGTGGTTTATGTAGTCTTACTTTAACCTGCCTAGCGCAGCGAACGTGTTCGCACCCCTTCACGTTCGCGCAAACGTGTTCGCGCGTTCGCGCGAAGAGCTCGCGAACATGTTCGGGCGAACATTTTTTTTTTTCGTAAAAAAAAAAAAAAATGTTTTTTCAGTTTTTTTATTTTGAACTCGTGATTGGCTACGAAGTTGAACTTGACTCCAAGGCAAAAGTTTTTTGCATTGTTATTTTACATAACATATATTTTTTTCAGATTTTTCTGAGAACTCTTTTTTTATTTTTTTTATTTTTTTTTCAATGTTCGCGTTCGGAAGGTTTTTGGCGCTTGTTCGCGTTCGCCTCCGAACGCGAACGCGGTGCTACGTAGACTTTAACATTACATTAGTCTGTACGTTTGTACCACTCTCGCGGTCTCCCTTAAGACTTCCCTCTTCTGTATCTCCCTCTTTCCACACCCTGCCGCCCTTGTTTCTTGTATGTCTGCAGGCAGTTGAACACACCCTACCAAGCATCTGCCTCTGCAGTTCAAATGTCTTCCCAGTTTGCACTCGCCATGTCTTGATCTCCACAATATGCCCACTTGTGATGTTGTAGTAGTTGTCACAGAGTACTACCTAAGAGCACCTTTGTGTGTGTGTGT